CGATGGGGACGTGGCTCGTGGGACGGTCGCTGGGGGCCAGTCTAGCGGTGATGGGAGAAGGGGAATGACGAAATGATTTGAAGTGAAGAGACTTGCTGAAGGTGCTGGAAATGTGGATGATGTCGCTACTGCCTGACCTCGTCGTCATCACCGAGCAATCCTCCTTCATCCTTCCGGTCTGACCTGCTGCTGCTGCTGCCGCTGCTGCTGCTGCTGCTGCTGCTGCCCTCCTTGTCATCCCCTCCTCTCCTTCACTCTTCTAAACTTTGTCATCGTTTCGCTGCTTACGATTCCTACAGGCTTCCGCCTTTTCCCCCAAGCCAACAGTTGGGTGAGGAGGGGAGGGGAGGGGAGGAGAAGTGTGAGTTGCCCGGCAGATTTTCTCAGTCTTCACTCGCGCCTCGCTGTCGTCTGCTTAAGACATCTGAACCTGACTGCACCGTGAAGGCGGGAAGATACGCTTGCTCCTAGGGGAGAGGAGGAAGAGGAGGAGACAAGAGCTACCAAGAGCTGGGTTTGAGCAGATGGTGACGTAGAGCAGCTCGGAACAGAAGAGAGGAGGGCGAGTTGGGGAGATTTTAAACATGTTATCTACAAAACAAAGGTTGAAGGTGGTTGAGCTGGGGCTGGTTGGACCTGCAGGCTTGACGTCAGCAGATGGCCACAAAAGCTCCTCCTCCTCGTTCTCCTCCTCCTCGTTCTCCTCGTTCTCCTCCTCCTCGTTCTCCTCCTCCTCCTCCTCCTCCTCCTCCTCCTCCTCCTCCTCCTCCTCCTCCTCCTCCTCCTCCTCTACCTGAGCCCCTGGCGTGCTCGGAGCTCCGAAGAGCTTCTCTGCCACCTCCTCGATGCGTTCTTCGATCTTGGAGAGCCTGCGAGAAAGTGAGGAGAAGAGATGAGGAGAGGATGGAAGGAGATAGGAGGAGGGGACGGGAGTTTGAGCGGAGAAGACAGGGGGAGGGAGGAGGCGCGGGTGTGAAAGGGGGAAGAAGAGGAGGAGATGATCATTAAGAACCTGGAGGAGGCCTTGGACATGAGCTCTCGCTGATCGCCGAGCTCGTCCCTGAGGTCTCGCATGGCATTTCTGACCTGGTCCTTGGTCTCGTCGTTCTGTTCCTCCAGCTCGTCACGCTGGATGCCGACGAAGAGGCCGTTGGGGAAGAAGTCAGGCTTCTCCTTATCGAAGCACTTGGACACGATGGACTGGATCATGTTGTAGTCCTGGGGGTCGTGGAGGGAGAGCCAGCGGAGGAAGAAGAGGTAGTTCCAGGCGTACTTGCCAGCCTCCCTCTTCTCCCACTCGCCCGGGAAGTCGTCGAACTTGAACCGGTCGATGCCGGAGATGAAGCACTTGGACTCGAGGTACTTGCGGATGTCGTCCTTTGCCTGCCGCATCTCGTTGAAGGCGTTGATGATCTGACCTGTCATCACGGGCTGGAGCAGGAAGGACCAGAAGATGACGAAGGTGATCATGAAGAGCGTCCTCCCCGAGTACCAAATGTCCGCCCATACCGCCATGGACGGGAAGGCCCAGGCGGCGAACCGGCCGAGGACGGTGCGGATGTCGCCTCCGAAGGAGTGAACGATGAAGGCAGCAACGCACTGGAACGGGCTGTGGCAGCTCTCGGAGGAGATGATCCCCGACTGCGAGTAGTAGGCGTACCCTAGGAAGCCGTAGACTGCTATGACCATCACCCCGACGGCGAAGGAGCGGATGAGTGCCGGCCCTCCGACGTAGAGGGCGCGGGTGACCATGCGTCCTCCTGGCTGCCGGAAGTAGTCGAGCATGCAGAACACCTGGAAGAAGGGGGAGGAGATGAGGCCGAGGACGGAGAAGGAGGTGAGGCCGATGAAATACCAGGCGTTGAGGCACTTGGAGAGGGTTCGGAGGACGAGGATAAGGCCGATTTTCTCCTCCAGGACTACGTTTGGGACGGGAGGAAGATGGAGCAGGTACTCCTTGCCTTTCTTCATGTTGGCATCCTCCTCCTCCGTCGACGAGCTCTTCTCCTTCAGCTTCACCTTCAATTCCTTCTTGTACTCCTCGACCAGGTGGATCCACTCGAGCGGAAAGTCCAGGATGAAGTAGGAGAGGCTGTAGAGGACGGTGAGGAGGAGATGAACGACTGTGAGGAAGTAGATGAACGACTTGCCCGCCGGCCAGAACAGCCACTCCTTGTCCGACGCCCACCTGCTCTCCAGCCGCAGCCTGTACTTGAGCGAGTAGTCGATGGTGCTCATGGCCAGCCCGTAGGTCGATCCGAGGCCCGTGGGGTCGGTGGTGTCCTTGGCGTAGGGGTAGGGGAGGTTCTGGTAGCCTGCGGGAGGGGTCCCCTTAGAGAAGAAGCGGCCCTGGGCGAAGACTCCGCCTGTGTTGGGGTCAATGGGGATGCCGTAGACGATGAGGAGGAGGACGGTGATGAGGATGGAGAGGGAGAGGGTTGACTTCTTGACCCACTTTCTCCTCTTGATCAGGATCCTGACCGTCCTGTACCTCCCCACCGCCTCGAACCACACGAGCTGGCTGAGCATGGACTTGAGCTGCTGGATGAAGGAGACGTACTTCTCGTGGGTCTCGTTGTTGGGGATGGAGCGGATCAGCTCTGTCATCCTATCCTTGTAGTCGGAGTTGTGCGCCATGCTCACGATGCTGTCATCTAGCGAGAAGTACACCTTCTCCACCCACGACTTGCCCGTGCTCTCCACCCTTCTCACCAGCTCCACGTGCGACGTGTGCTCCTTGAGGAACTTGTACAGGCGGGGGTACTCCTGCTTCAGCCCTTGCACGTGCTTGCGCACGTCCCCTGTGTCGTCGAAGTCCTGCAGGTAGAGCATGATGAAGTAGAGGTAGTACGTCTCCTCCTCCAGTAGCGACTCGATGCCCTCCATGGAGAAGCCCTTGTCCGACAGGCTCAGCACGTTCTTGTTCCGCTTCTGCTGCGACCTCATCGACTTGATGTGACGTCGGTGGTAGTCCACGAACCCCAGCAGCTTCCCGTTCTCCACGATCTGATCCGCAAACATCTTGAGGTCGAAGAAGTTGCGAATCTGCCGGGGGACTGACAGGTCCGTCACAACCTCGAAGAAGGAGAGGATACATCGCAGCAGGGTGATCTTCAGGCAGCAGCGCAGGTCGTTGATAGACAGGAACAGGCCCGCCGAAGCCGACGCCCATCCCCCCAGCGCCAGCCCCTCCGAGGAGGTGTAGCTGCAGAAGGCGAGGACGCGGTTGACGCTCGTGAGGAAATTGCTGGAGAGGAGGACGGCCAAGTTCTTCGTGTTGGGCCCCTGGACCGCCTCCGTGATCGTCTCGACGAGCTGGAGGCAGAGGATGATGAGGCCCTGGGAGTCGTTGGAGGAGAGGGCGGCAGGGAGGAGGGGCTGAACGACCTCGAACAAGTCGAAGCATCGCTTCAAGATGTCGTATGACTTTAGCATGCCGGGCTGACTTGACACGAGGTCCTGGATGACCTTGCACTGCCCGTCGCACATGAGCTGGAGGAGGCGGAGGACGAGGACGGCGAGGCTGGACTTGCCGTACTCGGACTCAGCCATGTCGCTCTCGTGCGGGGTGTGGGAGCCAGAGTGTTCGTTCTTGTCGAGCCCCTTCATCCTCTTCAGCTTGTTCGACGCAGAGTTCCTCTTGAGGTACTCCATGGAGCGGATGGTGGAGTCCAGGATCTTGAGGACGCGGCTGAAGAAGAGGTTGGTCTTGTTCTTGGTCAGGAAGTTCGCCACAGTGCTCTGAACGCGCTGGTTCTTGCCCTGCAGCAGGACCATGAGGAGGCGGACGGCCTCGGTTTGTATCCTCTTGCTCTTGTGGGAGAAGAGCCTCATGGCGGCGACGGTGCAGCCCATGGCGTCGAACTTGTTCTGCATCCATTTGATGACCTTCTTCTCGGGCCCGTAGATCCTGCGGGGAGAAGGGTGAGCAGGGGATGAGTCATGGAAGGGCAGGGGATGAGTCATGGAAGGGAGGAGAGAGGAGGAAAGGAGGGGAGGGGAGGGAGGAGGAAAGGAGGGGAGGGATGGATGTATGGAAGGAGGGAAAAAGAGAGGTGGTGAGGGAGGAGAGAGGGGGAGGGAGGGACGCAGTCGGGATACTCTCAGATATGCGGAAGATCT